ACGGGGATGGAGACGGGGTGGAGAGGGGCAAGGGTGGTCTAGAGGGACAGGGGAGAGGGTTCTCCGGCAGCTGTGGAGGATATTCGAGCGTCGTGCACCTCCACGAGGCAGTCGGCGCGGCGCAGCGCCAGGCGCATCTGCCGCAGGCCTGCAGCACACAGCACAGCGCGGGGTGAGCGCGCAGCGGGCGCGGCGGCGAGGAAGGGGAGGGGGGGAACTCGATCCGCCGCGCTGCCGCCCCTCACCTTTGGCCATGTGTCGCGGGAACCACGAGGCCACATCGCGGCCGCCGAAGTCGAAGCGCTCCCGGAACGCTCCCGGCACCGTCCCCGCCGCCCTCAGCGCTGCCCACACCCTCATGGCTCCGGCGCGTCACTTCCGCCGCGACCGGAAGCGGCCTCAGTGACAGCAATGGCGGAGCCGCAGCCGCCGCCTCCGGGGGCTTCGGGGGGCTCGGCCGCGCCTCACGGCGGCACGGGGGGTGCCGGGGCCCGCGGGGGGCACGGCGTGCCCCCCGCGGGCCCCGGCACCCCCCGTGCCACCGTTTCTGAGCCCCAACCCGCTCAGCCCACCCCGGAGCCCACCCCACGGCCAGGCCCGACGCAGGACCCGCTGGACGACCCCCGCTTCACCATCTCCAGCACCAACTGGTATTAAACCAACACCGCTCCGTGGAGCCACCCCCGCCGCATCCACCCCGCCACGGAGAGGAAGAAGCCGCCGGCGCGGAGGTTTCTCAATAAAGGAGAGACCGGAGGGCAAAGCAGCGGGGTTTATTTTGCTGCCTCACGAGTGAGGCGCGGGGACGGGCGCCTGGAAGAGCTGGTTGAGCCGCTCGGCCTCTCGCCACCCCGACAGCAGCGCCCCGTGGGTGGTGGAGTAGAAGGTGCGGTGCGTGGCCTCGCCGGCGAAGAGGAGCTGCAGGGGCTGCGGAGAGGCGGGGGGTGAGCACAGGGGCCGCGGGGCTCCGCTGGAACATCCTCACCCCCCGCAATAAAAACCCAGAAGCGGACACTCTCCCTTCCCTAGGCGCCCACCCCGCGCCGTGAGGAGGCTGGGAAGAGGTTGGGAGGAGCGGCCTGCCCACGACTTTTATGGAAATGCCCCCACCCCCGCGGAGCTCAGCAGGTGACCCGAGCATTGGTGACCCCCGCAAAGGGCCGGCACCTCCCTGTGCTCCCGGAGTGGCCTGTCCCCACCCCCGTCTGTCCGTCCCCCTCACCCGGGGGTCCCGGGGGTCCTCGGGCAAGGGCTGTGCGAGCACATCGATGTCGTCCCCCGAGCTGCCGACGGCCACGTAGCTGTAGGAGCCGCGGGTGTAGGGAGCGCTGTGCCAGCGGGATCGGAGCACGCTCCTGGGCGCGGGCAGGTTCGGATTCCCTGCGGATGGGGGTTAGGGGTGGGATCGGGAAGTGCCCCGGGGCAGTGGGCGGGCGGGGAGGGCGGGCCAGGCACCTGTCATCGTGCGCAGGACGCGGGTCATGGCGCTGAGCACCTCGGCGTCGCTCAGCGTCTCCATGTGCTCCGACTCCTTCCCCGCGATGAAGCCGCACAGGACGTGCCCGTGCCTGGGGCGGGAATGCGGGGCTGAAAGCTGCTGCCCCTCCCCGTGCCCACCAGCGGCCCAGAGAAGGGCGGGGGGATACCCAAAATCCCCAGCCACCTACTGCTCTGGCGGCTGGAGCACCACGAATCCGATGAGCTTCTTGAACCAGTTGGCTTCCAGGTCAGTGCTGGGCTCCTCCAGGGGCGAATCGTCCTCCCACACCACTTCCAGGAGCTGCTGCTCGGGCTCCCAGAAGGGCTGCTCGAACTCCAGGAAGATCTTGTTGTTGGTGCCGAATCCGAGGTTGCGAATGGCCTGTGCTTTCCGCTCGGGAAGGGGAGGCTGGAAGAATTCCTGGTAGTGCTCCTTGAGGAAACCTGCAGCCACGAGTTTGGGCAGGCAACGGGGCAGCTCTCAGCTGGGCTACTAAATGGTGTCTGAGATGCTCTGACCTCCCCAAAACCCCTTTCCAACCTATTCCCAGTGGGAGAGGGGAGGCTGGGAAGGGCTTTAGGCAATCCTTCCCCTCCACTTGCCCGTCTCCAACCCATCATCCGGCTGGTCGGAGGGGACGGGCAGGGCAAGGGAAGGTGTTGGTGTCCTCACCTAGCGGGACAGTGATGATGACGTGGTCAGCAAGGAAGACATCTCCATCCTCGCACTCCACCCGGACTGGGAAAACCCTGGCACCGTCCCCTTCCTCACGGAAGGACCCTTGCCACTGGATGCTCCTCACTGCCTTGTTGAGCAGGACGGTGCCCTCGGGCAGGTCCGAGAGCAGGCGCTCGGCCAAGCTGCTGTAGCCACTGTGGGAGGAGTCACCGCTGGAGACGCGGCGGCCCCAGGAACGCTCCTCCGCGTCCCGCTCCGGAGCCCCGCGCTTACCCTGGGAAGGTGCAGTCCAGGCCGGGCAGCGACACGTACTCCCCGAAGGGCTCCAGGCCCACCAGGTCCATGCTGTGGGTCCCGCTGATGCAGCACTCCAGCTTGAGGCAGGCGGCGAGCACGGCCAGCTGCAGCCGCCGGGCATCCTCCTGTCCCCCCGCCATCGTGGGGACCGTCCGGGCGATCTCTGCTCGCAGGTACTGGCCCACGCTGGGCCACGGTGGCTCCTTGGACCCCTGGAAAGCGCGGGTGGAGGCCAGGAGGGCGTAGAAGAGGTCGCGGGCTTCGCGCACTGCCTTGGCATTCAGCACCTTCCCCGAGCTGCCGTAGGTGACGGACGGCATCGGGGGGTGACCCCCCGCTTCCACCTGCTGGTTCTCCTCCCGGGCGGCCTCCGGGCCCAGCAGGCCGTAGCTGGAGGCCAGGCAAAACACGGGATTCCCCGGCGAGGGGCCGTGGATCCAGTGCGCCCCCATCTCCGCCAGCCCCGACGCTGCCGGGAGGGAGAGCGGGTCACCCCGAGCCGTGCCCGTGGAGAAGCCCTCGGGGCGCAGCGGGACCCCCGGAACGGCCGGAGCCGGCGGGCCCTGCCGCGCCCCCGGTGCCCCCCGTGACCGGCTTCCGTTCGATCCCCGGCTGCCCACGGGACCGGCCGCCCCCGCCACGTGTCCAGCCCGCTCAGGTCCGGCCCCGGGGCCCGGGGTGGATCAGGTGCAGCTCCCGCATCCCGGTACGGCCGCCCCCTGCCCCAGCCCGGGCCCGCCCCCCGGTGCCGCCCACCCCCCGTTCCCGGAGCCTCCCGCCGGCCTCCCCGCCCGTACCGAAGGGGCGGGTGCAGACGCGGCCGCCGGCGCGGGCCGCCGCCTCCAGCAGGAGGAGGGAGCCGTGTCCGCGGAGCCGCTGGGCCGCCCCCAGCCCCGCCAGCCCCGCGCCCACCGCCACCACCCGCCGCCCGCTGCCCTCCATGGCCGCCCGCGCCGGCCGGTACCGCCCTCCGCCGCCGCCGGCACCGCCCGCCGCCAACGGCACCGCCCCCGGAGCGGCCCCGGCCGCGGCAGGGAGGCGAGGAGGAAGGATGGGATGGATAGATGGATGCCCGTGGGTCCCGGTGCAGTGATGAGCCAGTGGAGGACAGGAGAAGGCCGGGGTGGGAGAGGGGACCCCTCCTGGAGTAGGTGCAGGTAGTGACCACCTCCTCACCCTCCTCCTCTCCCTGCTCTGCTCCGGCTCATCCACCTTGTGCCGTGGCCGGCCAGCCTGGTGAGCTGGAGGAGCAGTGGGTGCTGCCCCACACATCCTGCCACACATCCCAGCAGAGCTGCCACACATCCCAGCAGAGCTGCCACAAGGGCCAGTCCCAGCGCTCCCGCCCACCCGTGATTCCCAAACCTTCATGCATACAAGAGTCTTCACTCCCAAGGCTGTCTGGTGGGTTTTTTTCACCAGCAAGCGTTCCTACCGCCTGCCCAGGGGTGGGGCAGGGTACTGGGATGTACTGGGATAGTCCCAGCTGGGACCCTGGGAGAACCCACTGTGCCACCCAGTTCTACCAGCAAAAGGGTTACTGTGTCCCCGCTGGCCCTGGCAGCTCCCCAGAAAATATTCACATGCAAGGAAGAGCTGAGTGTGTCAAAGATCAGGCTCCTGAGTATCTTTGAGTATTTATTTTGGAGGGATTTTCCCCACCTCCGGGTTTGCAGCGAGCAGCACAGTGGGATGGGCTGGAGACATCAGCCTGGCAGCAGCTTCCTGAGGGGATGGTGGTCCTGCAAGCCAGCCCAGGGCATTTGGGGTCACCAGCTCCCAGGGGTGAGGGATGATCATTCCCAGTGTCTTGGTGCTGAGCCAAGCAGACATTCCTGGGGACGTCTGGCCCCTGAGTCCCAGCCCAAACAATGCAGGCAGGTGCCTGGCATGGCCCAGACAGAGACCTTCCACTTCCCTGGGGACTTGTCTTGGGGAAAAAGGATTCTCCAAATCCAACCTGAATCCCCCTGGGCTGCAATTTGGGGTCAGAATCTCACGTTGCATCACCTGTTGCTGCTGCCAAGAAGGGTTTGGCCTCATTCACCTCCTCTGTTCCTTTGTGTGCCACACCTGGGGGTCTCCTCTCAGCCTGTCCCCTCCACAGCCAGACTCAACGGGCCCAGCTCCTTCCCACCTCCTCATAGGCTGGGTGCTCTAATCCACAACGCACTGGGCAGCCACTGTGTGGTGATGGCAGGGTCCCCATATTCCCCTGGCACAGCTCAGGGTCAGCACCATCATGTTGGGGCCCTTCCAGCAGGGCTGGTGGCTCCTGCCTGCTCCGGTGCCTCGGCTGACCCCGGTGCTGCTCCCAGCACGGTGCTACCGGTGCTTCAGGAGCTCCCAAGCAAGGAGGAGAGACCCCAAGAACCAAGGGATGAGTGGAAAGCACCATCACCACAAGCGTGTCAGGCCAGCAGGAAGGAGGGGACAGCAGGGAGTGTCCCACCCCCTCCTTGAGCTGTCTCAGCTGAGGGACAGGGGCCAGGCCACCGGCACCTCCCCCGGGAGCTGCCGCTCTACCAGGACTCCTCCATCAGCTTCAGGATGCTGCTGTAGAGGCGCCCGGGGGCGTCCAGGCCCCAGATAAAGTCCCAGTGGTTCCAGTCGGGGATGTGGCTGTAGGTGACGAGGTGAGAGATGCGGGGCAGCAGCAGGAGGACGTCCCTCTGGTCAGCTGCCCAGTCCTGCCCTCCGGACCACACCGCTGTGGGCACCGGCATCTCCTCCACGCGGTACAAGGGCGGTGTGTCCTGGAGGGACACGGGGGGGTCTCAGTTGGTCAATCCCTGCAAGCCATTCTGTCCCTGCACCACCCTGGATAGACACCCCAGCATCTCCAGCTGCCAGCACTGCCACTGCAGCTCCTACCTGGTGGTACATGGCTGGGTTCTTGCTGCCGTAGTCAAAGGCTTTGAATTCTCCAGATGTTATCACCTGGGAAGAGAGGATGGATCTGCTCTGGGAGGCCAGCGAGTGCTGCTGCGTGGGTCTTGCATCTCCTGGCCCCCTCGAGGCGCCTGCCATGAGAGGGTGCTCAGAAGGGGTTTGTGTAAGTGCCTGCCCTCCATCTGCCCATCTCCAATAGTGCCAGCTGGCTGGGGACAAGCAGGACAAGGAGAGGTGTCGGTGTCCTCACCCGTGGGACATTGCAGGAGGAGATGGTATCCATGCAAAGCCAGGCTTTCCACCTTTTTTAACGGTGGAATTTTGAGCTCTGGCTCCATGCCTGTCCCTAGCCATGGATTGACAAACCAAGGTGTTGCACGTATCTCCTTGGCTGCCCTGGTGCCACGCTCTTCCCTCTGAAATCCTGCTCACCACCAGCTGTGTGTGCAGGGCGCTGCTGGAGTGCCTTCAACAACCTGATCATCCTTTTTTCACCTACCCTTACCTATAATTTGACTCTGCAAGGAGGCACATGGGTGGGGTTTCTCCAGCCTGACCCCGTTTCCAGCAGGGCCAGTGCTGAAGCTGCAGAGTCCATCTCCAGGGGACCCAGGACCCCTTTGGACGGAGGAGATGTTGTTGGGTCCCCCTTTTCTTCCTCATCCACTTCCCCCAGCCTCTCCTTGGGCTTTCACCCAGCACCCAAGTTCTGTTTTGGCAGTTCCTGGGGGCTCTCAGCATCCATCTGTGGCCTCCCCATCCTGTCCCTTGTCCTGCCTGGCACAGCACAGGACACACACGGCAGTGTCCCCTGGTCCCCAGAGGCACCAGGGCAGCTCATCCTGCTTATTTCAGCACCTCTTCTTATTTGTTGCCTTTACTTTCTCAGGAGCTGCCAGTGTCAGAGATCCCTGAACTCTCATGTCTGCCCTGGGCACAGCAGACTCTTGGTGAAGGGACCATCCTGGGGCTGAAGCATCCATCCACGTGTCAGGGATCCTACCTGGGCCCAGTGGATGATGTTTTTGACAGAGGTGCCTTCCGGATAGTGGGATGTGTACACATCCAGCCGTGTCTGCAAGGAAACACACCCCAGCTATTGTTGTTTTCCAGCGGATGGGAGTGGAGTGGCAGCTGCCAGGTGTTTCCCAGAGCAGCCACTGCTGAGTCACGCTGCCTGAAGAGCTGGACCAGGTTCGGGAATATAATTTTCATTAAAAACCAGTTGCTGTGAGGCAGCATCGGGAGGAGAGAGATGAGGGATGAGCTCTGTAAGACACCTTACCTGGGCTCAGGGGCTGTGCTCAAGGCCTCAGTGACCACCTGGGGTCACCCAGAGGCTGCTTCAGCAGCTGGGTCAGAGCAGGGGCTGCACCCCAGAGGTGTTGTCAAGGGCCACCTGGCCACTGACATTTACCCAGCAGTGCCTGGGGGCTTTTCCTGTCCTGGGAGGAGAAGCACGTGGCAGAGGGACGTGTGTTGCCCATGCAGGGTCTGCTTGCTGCGAGCACGGCGGGGGCGAGTGGCTGTGGCAGGCTGGGCAGGGCGGGTGGCAGAGCAGCGTCCCCACTGGAATGTCACACCCACCATGTTGAGGTTCTTCTCGTTGTGGCCACCCATCAGGAAGAGGAGGTTGGCACAGGGCCTGTGCAGCAGCGTGTGCCTGCACAGCTCCGGGAGAAAGCGCCACAGCTTCCTGATCCGCAGGGACGCGTCCGTTCTGCCCAGCAGCAGCTGCGGGAGCAAAGGGCAATGTGCCTTTCCTGCTCTTCCCTCCCTGCAGCCCAGCTCCTGGACTGTGCCACCAGCCAGGCAGTAAGGGGAATGTCCAGGAGCCAAGCCTACTGCCCCCCTGCCCTGCTGCCCCACGGAGCTGGGTACAGCTCGGTGCAGGAGTTGATGCTGACTGAACACATGACAGGGAAATCAATATTCACAACTCTCCTCTTTCCTCCCACCTCCTCCAAGCACTGGATCTGTTTATCATGGAATCAACATGGCAAAGCTGCTCTTTTCCAGGTGTTCAAGCCTATGGCCCCTACAAGTGCCCCCATGTAAAGACCACGTTTATCCTACAGATGGAAAGAAGACATGCGCTCAACAAGGACTGTATGTGCAGCTGAATGGTGCCTGTGCCAATAAATCATCAGGAATTAACTGTTTTCTGCTGCATCAGAGAGCCCCAGGGGTGCCAATGGGCATGCAAACCATGCATGACCATGATCTGGGCATGATCCCTTCTCTAGAACCAGTTTTGGGGCAGAAGGGCATGGGGTAATCCCTTACTTGAATCATCTTGAGCTTGTTGTCCAGGAGGAGCAGTATCTTCATGAGTGGACTTTTGGCATTCTTGGGTACCGCTGCTGGAGCCAGGGCAAAAAACATTTTGACTTTCTGAGCCAGTTCGGGTATGGATGAAAACGCAATAAACGCTGAGAAAACAGAAAAACAACCTCAGACTTGCTCCATCTTTCCTCAGGTGCTTAATCTGAGGGTTCACATGGACCTAGGTCTGTTTAATTAATGATCTCTGCTTGGAAATCTGAGATCTCTTGCCACCTTCCTGCTAAATGTTGGTGCAAGAGATGCCCAAAGGGAGGCAGCACCTTTATTCCCTTGGCTGATCAGGCACTTCAGTGGTTTTTAAGCCCAAATGGAGGGGATGCCTTTGCTTTCTGCTGAGCAAAATGAAATTTTTCAAGTCAGGATGATGGGTTACCCCTCGGAACTCACCAATTGAGCAGCCCTGGGAGTAGCCAACATAGTGGAGCTGCTTCTGCCCCGTCTTCTGCAGCACAAAGTCGATGGCGGCTGGGAGATCGTACATTGCCATCTCATGGAAGCTGCAACACAGGAGGGGGATGTTGGCTACGAGGCTGCAGCAGGAGAGCAAACTTACCTTGAGCTGCCTTGCATTGCTCAGCTTTACATCCTGGGCTGCTTTTCCAGGAGAAAATTCCTGGCATGGATCCCTCCTGCCATGGCATCATCCTCCCCTGAAAGAGCTTAGTCCTCCCACGGCCGTGCTGAGCAGTAAATAGACTGTGCAGAGCCTGGCCAGCATTCCAGTGCCTCTCTGCAGACCCAGAGCTGGCTCCCACCAGGATTACAGCACCAGCTCTGCTCCTTGGGATGCTCTTTCCCGGAGGGGAATGGAGCACCGGTTCCTGCCCGTGTGCCTGTTGGTGGGACATGGTGAAAGGCAGACCTGCTGTGTGAGGATTTTCTAAAAGCCTGTTTACGAGCTTGTGGATTCTGCTCTGAAGATCAGCTCTGGAGAGGCAGCTTAAAAAGAGGGGACAAGGGGCAAGAAGGTCTAGTAGCAGGGGAGGTGGCAATGACACTTGTGGACATCTCGGTGGTGTCTCTGTGGATGAGGCAGGGCTGCTGTCTCTGTGTGCCCCCCCTGTGCTCTCGGCAGCTGCAGGGAGGTGCTGGCACTGTGTCAGCAGGCAGGTCTGCTCAGGTCCCTCCATCCTCCCCCGGGAGAGGCTGTGCCAGGGATCGGGCGCTCTGACTTGCCTGCTCGGAGGCACCCACCTCTGCCTAGAGCTTGGGGACAGGCAGAGAACATCGCCAGGCTTTTGTAACGTGCTGCAGCCCACCTGAAATCCCAGAATTCCACCTGGTCAGCTGAAAGGTGCTGGTGTCTCCGGGAGCAGCTGGTCCCCCGGCTGTTTGCCAGCCACACGTCGTAGCCAGAGTCTGCTAGGATGAAGCCAAGGCTGTTGTTAGCCAGATTTTCCACCCAGTGGCTGCCTTCTCCAAATAATCCGTGCTGGAGAAACACGACTGGCCTGGCCCCTGGGTGCAAAAGAAACAGCACATTTAATTGAACCAGATTCTCTCTATTCACTCACCCCAAATTAAGGCCAGTAAAGCCTTGCACTGCCAGAGGACATGCAAAATGTGTATTTTGACTGTGTGTTCTGGCTCTGAGTGTAAATTGGAGAAATCCCACGGATTCAGGATTTTTGCTTTAACAATGACCATTCCCCTGGCCTGTCTGGGTTCATCCATTCCCCTGCTTACATTCAGGGCTTTTTTATTTATTTATTTATTTATTTTTTCCTGCTGGCTCTGAGTCAAATAGAGCTGTACCTCTGTTCTCAGGCTTTTCTCTTCCATGAGGAATTCTGTTCAGGTGGATGTAGTAGCCGTCACGAGTCAGGACTTCATACTCCTCACTGGGGTACCCTCTGTAGCAGATGATTTGGCTCTGGGGGAAGGAAAACCCAGGTGGGAAACTTTCCGTAGCAAAGGTGTTTATATGACTTGAAGAGACCACCCTTGGTAAAACCGAAGTTCTGGGCTGTGCCCAGGCTGTGTTGGGATCAGCTGAGGACTTTTTGTGACAGAGGATGCTCTGTCTGAACCTCACCCCAGTGATCTGCCCGAGGGAAGGGGAGATGCTCAGCCGTGGGCGGCTGCGGGGCTTGAAACGCTTCCAAACACGACGATTGAAACCGAAAGGATTTCCTGACGCCTGAGCCCGCTTTACTGACGGCTGGCACCGATTTCCTGACGGCTGGCACCGATTTCCTGACGGCTGGCACCGACAGCAGCACGTGTCACATCAGGCTCCCAGCTGATGTGCCGGGCAGATAAGGTGGTGGGGCAGATGGAACCTGCCGAGCTGGGCTGACTGGAAGGGCAGTGGGATAAACCCCATGGGATATTCCTTGCAGGGCTCCCAAGGCTCTGCTTGAGCTTTATTTATGCTGAAAACTCCACAGACTGGGAAGTTTCCGGGTAAAATCCAGCTGTGGTCCTGCCCCACACGTTGCTGTACCCTCCCTTTGTCAGCTTGGCAGGAATGATTAAGTGCAGCGAATTTACCACGTCTTGGGTCCTGCTAAGCCCAGCTTCAGAGCCTCCCAGGGCTCACCTGGACACGGCCCTGAGCGATTTGCTGCAGCTGAAGGAGAGGAGCCACGAACAAATTTCTACCCTCTGGGGAGATATCTGATCAAATCCTGTCTGGGATTATCCCCATCTCCAACTGCCCTGCTGGTAAATGAACTTAATTCTGCTGGGAGGAGGAGCTTGTTAATGATGGTGTGGAGGCAGCATCATTTCACAGCAGCTCAACAGCACCAGCCCTCTCCATGTGCCCTCCACCCCTCTCTCCTCCACCTGAATGTGCCCAAGCTTTCAAAAGTTTCAAATTCAAAGTTCTCCTGACTTACAGTGTTCATGGAAGCCTCGGGATTTAGAGCCTTTTTCTGCTTGGTGGCATCTTCAGAGTTCGTGGGTGCTTGTAGGAAAACCAGGATTGCAAGAAACAGCCACATCTTGTGCCTGTCTAAATAATAATAGTAACAACAACAAAAATAATGGTAATGATAGTAATAACAGGAGTAGGAACAACAACAGGATTAACAACAGCAAAACCAGTACCACCAAAGCTGCTGTTGTTATCATTGTTATTATTGTTACTAGAATTGATATAAAAGTCTGTTTCTACTTGGTTATGATGAGTTAAATTCCTCACGTATCATTTTCTGGGCTGTGAAAGTGGAGGGAATTCCCAATTTCTGTTTTCTTTGTGGTCCACATGAGAATTTTTTATAGTCCTCTGTACAGACAGGATCTGGTACTAGGCAGGAGCCTTTTTAATATTTTTAATGGCAAGGAGAACAAGCTGTGCAAAACCAGAACTAAACCAATACCATTGGACCAGTTGTCTCACAGAGGAAATTAATCTAAAGGAGGAGTTTAGGCTGTGGAAGGAACGTGTTTAGTGGGACTGGGCTATGACTATGTCTATACTTTTCTCTATTGTTTCTCTATTGCTTAGCTTTTGTACCCAAAACCCACTGTAAACAGAAGGACCCTATGAACTGAAACTGGTAGAGCCTCATAAGAAGACTACTGATTAAATAAGTGTAGCCTCAAAAAACCAGAAACCTTTTTGACCACCTTAGAAGCTCCTGAGCTGAGCAGAAGCCTATTTTTAATGCACACAATTAATATGATACATGATTTCTAATGTTCTGCCAGGCTCTCAAAAGTTCAAGCTTAACTTCAGCCCAGCAGCACGAACTGTGAATTATTCTCTGCCTCCCTCCTTCTGCTCCCAGTGCGTCTCCCACACCACGAGACTTTCCTGCCCTTGGAAATATTCCCAGCAAACCTACCTGTGGTACCGCCAAGATGCGAGTTAAAATATAAAAGATGCTTTTCCCCCTCTTGGGACAGCTCCAAAAGGACACAATTCAGAAGGACACAGAGGAAAACACGTTACCAGGCAGAGCCCACTGGCTGGTCTGAGCAGGCTGGTGGTGGCAGTGCTGGTGGCTCTGTCACCACCAGAGATAAAAGGACCACGCTGTGTCAGAGCCCAGCCACGCTGGCACACTGCTGTCCCTCATCACGTGCCTTCCAATTAACAGATGTGTGCTGATCATTCCTGTGGCACCTCCCTCCGTGTGGCTGTGACTTTCGTGCGTGCAGAGGATTGCGTTCCCGGATCCGTGTGCTGGGGAATTCCAGCTATGGAGTTGCACCTTAAGCTCATGATAGCCAAGATGAAGAAAAAACAAACAAAAAAGCCAACAGCTTTTCTTTGTAAATGTCATTTCCTAACTCCCAGGGTAATTTCCTGTCTCCCAGAGTTATTTAGAAGAGTTCCTGGTGCAACAAAAAAGTTTGGGCTCTACCATCTTTACAAAGCCTCAGCAGCATGCTGAGCTCCCCAAGGACAAACAAACAGGTCAGGCCTCGCTGCCTGCCTGGATGGGACACACTTGGTCATTCCACTCCTCGTGAAAAGTGACAGTAAGGTCCAAAAGTGTTGTGTTAGCAAGGGGCAATTCACAAAAGCTCTGCAGGGGCTTTCTGGAAAAGCACGAGGCTGCAGGTGTCACCAGCAGCCAGCGGTGCGGAGGAGAGCTGGTGCAACACCTCTGCTTGGCCAAAGCCACAGAGATAAGGTGTTTGTTCCCCACCTGCAGCCCGTGACTGCCTACCTACGCCTCTCCCTGCCTTGGTAGCCACCTAGAAACCTGTGCTGGCTCTGCTGGAGCATGCCTTCCCTGGCTGTGGATTGGGCTGCCTCCCAGCGCTGCCGCCAGCCGTGGTGCACGAGCAGGATGTGAGCTGCCCCAGCACGCACCCTGCTCCAGCCCCACGCTGTCCTTGTCTCCTGGTGCCACAGCTGCTGGCACAAGGGGCTGTGTGGGTGTCTTCCTCCTTGTGGCCAGGGTCTTCACTCCTTCATTACCTTCTGCACCTGCTCTGGGCTTTTTGAGGACATTTGGGAAATGTCTCCCCTCGCTTGTGAGCACAAAAATCCCACTACAAAGAGTCAGAGGATCGTGGAATGGAGCCCATCTAGGTTGGAAGGACCTCAAAGCCCATCTCATTCCACCCCCTGCCATAGGCAGGGACACCTCCCACTATCCCAGGCTGCTCCAAGCCCCAAAGTCCAACCTGGCCTTGGACACTTCCAGGGATCCAGAGGCAGCCACAGCTGCTCTGGGCACCCTGTGCCAGGGCCTGCCCACCCTCCCAGGGAACAATTCCTTCCCAATATCCCATCCATCCCTGCCCTCTGGCAGTCTGAACCCATTCCCTGTGTCCTGTCACCCTAATTCCCGATGCAGGGTCCCTCTCCAGCTTCCCTGTATCCCTTCAGGCCCTGGAAGGAGCTGTGAGGTCTCCACACCCCCTTCCATTCTCCAGGCTGAGCAGCCCCAGCTCTCCCAGCCTGGCTCCAGAGGGAAGATGCTCCAGTCCCCTCAGCAACTCCTTGGCCTCCTCTGGACCTGCTCCAACACTTCCATGCCCTCTTTCTGTTGGGGGCACAGAACTGTGCACAGGTGGGGTCTCACCTGAGTGGGGCAGAGGGGCAGAATCCCCCCTCCCCTGCTGCCCATGCTGCTGCCTTCTAACTCCACTACTCGTTCTCTAGTAGAGTTACTAAGTAGTAGTAATGGTAGTAATAAAATAAAGTAATAGAGGTTGGAAAAGCAGCAGAGACTTCTCTGACATCCTCAGGTTGTGGAATGAGGCCATTGGAACAGTGTGTCAGTGCTGAGGTGAGTGTGTGATTCAGCACCTGGAGTTATTCTACCTGTGCTAGAAGGAGAGAAGGTCCCAGAAACAAACAGTTGGATTTTTACTGAGGAGCTCCTGTGTAGCTTAGTCAAAGGGAGAAATGAAGACCTTTGAGGACTTGAAGGAGGTTGGGTTTAGATGGGATACTGGGAAGGAATTGTTCCCTGGGAGGGTGGGCAGGCCCTGGCACAGGGTGCCCAGAGAAGCTGTGGCTGCCCCTGGATCCCTGGAAGTGTCCAAGGGCAGATTAGTCGGGGCTTGGAGCAATCTGGGCTAGTGGAAGTTGTCCCTGCCCATGGCAGGGGGTGGAATGAGGTGATCTCTACGGTCCCTTCCCACCTAAACCACGCTAGGATTCCACAATGTGTGTCCAGGTGTGACATGGAAGGCAAAGGTTTCCAGCCAACGAGTCATCCATGTGCTTCCTGGGCTCCACCTGAGACCCAAACCCTGTATTTTTCTTGGCCTCTGAGGCCCTTTAGGAATCAAAAGCTCCGTCTTCTGGTGTGGTGTGTTGCGGAAGCCTTTTGTTAGCTTCACACTTCATAGATACAAGGCAGCATTGCTGCTGGATGCCTTTCATGTTCTCCTTTAAGGCATCACAGGACTGCAACCCCACCTGCTGCTGGCACAACAGGAAGAGAAACAGCCCCTGGCATCAGCTGTGTCCCCAGTGCCACCTTACAGGGGCAGGTCTGCTGCTGCTGAGTCACCTCCTCTGAGGCACACCGTGGCACGTTCCTCAGCCCTCAGCACAGGGACTGGAGCTCATCCTGTCCTGGGCTATCCCAGGACAGCTGGTGCCCTGCTGTTTTCTCCTGCAGCCACCAGGCTGTGTGCCCAGGGTGCTGGCTGGTGCCTCTTGCCGAGCACAAGGGTAAACCAGTCACAAATCATCTGTCCCTGGCATCCTGAGCTGGGAAAGGGAGTATCACCCTGATTTTAGCAATGAGAGAATGTCAGCTCTTGTGCAATTCCTGCCAGATAAGCACAACTCCCTGGCAGTAACCTTGGAGAGCATGGCTCAAGTTAAAGAACCTGACGAGGGAAGCAGTCCTTATCTGCTTGTAGCTCTCCCAGTTTAAAGTCCCTTTGGCTAGGCTGGGATATCTCTGGTTATTACTGTTACCTTTGGCAGGGTTTTGCCCGTGCTGGAGTTGCACAGTGGAGCTTGAGGAAACAGCTGATCTTTTAACAACACCTTGTTGGAGTTGTTCGGGCAATCATTCCATTCGCTACAATGAAATGCAATAAACAAAAGCATAAATATTCCTGAATGTGGATTGGGAAATCATGGAGATGTGATCACTGGTGCTTTTTCTCCAGTAATTCCCCCTCTGTTCCTGCGTTCAGAAGATCCCAGAACAACCCTGAACTTCCTCTACTTCTTCCCTCATCTCTCTTCATTGTACAGTTGGTTTTAAAGCGTATTTTACAGCTAAAAGAGTTTGGTTTGTGGGTGAACAGACCTGGGACAACGTGAGCAAAGTTTCTCAATAAAGAAGGACCTACAGTTTTCAAATTTGGTGCAGTAGTGCTCTTGAGATTATTTTCCAGCATCCTGGAGAAAAGCTGATCTGGCTCAGCTTTGCCAAAGCCCTGATCAGGGCTGTCAGAGATGTTTAGGGAGCAGGAACATGTCCCACAGGACGTATTCCAGGGAATCAATAACAGAATGAACTAGGTTGGAAAAGACCCTTATGAGATCATCAAGTCCAAGATGTGACCTAGCACCTCCTCATCGACTAAACCATGGCACTGAGTGCCATGTCCAGTCTTCTTTTATACAAGTCCAGGGATGGTGATTCCACCACCTCCCTGGGCAGACGATTCCAGCTCCCAACCACTCTTTCAGTGAAGAATTTTCTCCTGATGTCTAACCTAAACTTCCCCTGGCACAGCTTAGGGCTGTGTCCTCCCGTTCTGTCAGTGGGAGAAGAATCATCATGGTCAACGCTGGCTTGTGAAGTTTTGGAGAAAATGACATCTGATCTTGATTTCAGCGAACTGCAGCTTTCCATGGCCTTATACCATTCCCACCTGCTTGAAGTCCCATCACATGAAAATGCAAGTCTCAAAGGCCAAGGTCTCTCACTCTCAGAGGTTCATCTAGCAAACTCCGAAGAAAATTTGAAAATTACATTGGCAATAACACAGAAATTTCTGTGAGTTCCTGAAAAAAAGTCAAAATGTTTTCAACCCAATGAAAGCCTGAATCTACTCAGCAATGCCTCTGGAAATTGTTTGCAGGTTGTTAAAGATCAAAAAGATGTGAAAAGGCAGCGCACCATCTGTCATAACTCGATGAAACTTTGTCCTAGATTAACTCTGGGACCAATCAGTTTCTAAATAACCCCACAGGCCAGCACGTTGCTTAAAGCAGACACCAGAGCAATCTCTGGATTACTTGCAAAAGCACCACTTCTCTCCAAGCCTGTGCCTGTGGGAAGGAGGCTGTGGTAGGGCTGTTCAGCACCTCTCCAGTGTGGGCACAGCCTGGAGCTGGCCCTGTGCCCCACTGCACAGCTCCTGTGTGTGCTGCTGTCCTTTGCACTGAGTGTGTGATGGTAGGAAATGATCCATATCAGCCAGCACGGTGACACTGCTGTGCCCTGAGCGGGATGTGACACAGCTTTGAGCCCTCATGGCCTCATGTGACATGCTCTGCATGAGCACATCTGGAAGAAAATTGAATAAGAGGCTGAGTGACCAGCGTCCTCCCCACGTGGAGGTGTGTGACTGAGGCTGGCTTGCCCAAGCAGGGAGGAGAACAAGGGTGGTGAAGGCTTTGTGCTGCTTTGGAAGCTCTGAGTGTGAGAGGTTGAATTGATCTCCATGGACTGAGATATGCAGGACATTGATCTCTTGGAGCAGGTCCAGAGGAGGCCACCAAAGTGATCAGAGGGATGGAGCAGCTCTGCTGGGAGGAAAGGCTGGGACAGCTGGGATTGTTCAGCCTGGAGAGGAGAAGCTTTGGGGTGACCCCATTGTGGTTTTCCATTGCCTGAAGGAGATATAAAAGTCATGAAGAGAGACTGTTTAAAAGGGCCCAGAGTGCCAGGACACAGGGAATGGCTTCCCAGTGCCAGAGGGCAGGGATAGATGGGATATTGGGAAGGAATTGTTCCCTGGGAGGGTGGGCAGGCCCTGGCACAGGGTGCCCAGAGCAGCTGTGGCTGCCCCTGGATCCCTGGAAGTGTCCAAGGCCAGGTTGGACTTTGGGGCTTGGAGCAGCCTGGGACAGTGGAAGGTGTCCCTGCCCATGGCAGGGGTGGAATGGGATGGGCTTTGAGGTCCCTTCCAACCTAAACCATCTGTGATCCCATGACTCTGTGATACCCTGTGAAATCACCACAGACCAGTCCCATGATGTTTGACTTGCCTGACAGACCTGAGACACTCAAGGACTCCAATCCTGCCATGGTCATCCCAGGAGGTGGAATTTCACAGTGTTTATTCTTCAAGCATAAATCAATTTTCTTCCAAAAATTTTTCTTCATCCATTGTTGATCCTTTAACAGCAGAGGGGAAGCAAGCACCACAACCTGATCCAGCCCAAAGTGCTCTGGCACGGGAGAATGACGATAGCACATTGCAAACACTGAACCAGATAATTGCAGAAGTGGCAGAAACTTCATGACCTGAACAGAAAGAGACTAAACCCTGCACTTTTTATGAGTTTTCAGAAGTTAAAAGCTAGCCCTTTTAAACTAAACCTGAATAAACGGCAGGTGTGGAACGTGGTTCAGTGGTGAGCATGGTTGGGTTTGATGATCTTAGGGGTCTGTTAAGGATTCTGTGATTCTAATTTCCTGCCGGCTTTGCAGAAGTTTGCAGGGCAAACATCTCGCCAGCATCTTTGTGTGTTTATTTGCCAAGGTGGAGAGGCTGTCCTGCATTTGCATTGGTACCCATGGCATGAGCACGGCGCAGTCCTGTAAGATGCTGCTCCAGGGCACAGCCCTGCCGTGAGCAGCTGATCACACAGAAAAAGATGTCATTACAAATATCCTAAGTGAGGCAGCTAATCACTGGCAATCCAGGCAGATCCTATCTAACCTATAGCCTCATTCCTGCACCCTGGGATTACCTCGCCCCGTCCTCTTTTCTTCTGTGGTCAGTTCCAGGTGCAAGGGTGGAAAGTGAAACACTTTAGAGGTGGTAACTTGAGCAGAGCCCACTGCACTTGCCCCACAAGGCACCACCAGCCCTGTGCCACCATCTCCAGATACCTGGATGAAACTCTGCTGCTGAACCCCCACAGTTTGGCTCCAGAGAGCATCTGTGCTGGGCTCCATACCTTCCTCACCACCCACCTCTTCCCTGCAGGGAGATGCTGGTGGCACTGTGGGCATCTGCCAGCATGAGCTGCCTGGAAATTATCCCTGAGCAGGAGGAGCATTGGGCAAGCAGCTCTCCCTCACCTGCACCTGGTAAGATGTCTGTGCTGAAAACCCCCATACCCACAGAATCCTGGAATGGTTTGGGTTGGAGGGGAATCTCAAAGCCTGTCTCATTCCACCCCTCCCACTATCCCAGGCTGCTCCAAGCCCTGTCCAACCTGGCCTTGGGCACTTCCAGGGATCCAGGGGCAGCCACAGCTTCTCTGGGCACCCTGTGCCAGGGCCTGCCCACCCTCCCAGGGAACAATTTCTCCAGAGTTTTAACCTCTAGTTAACAGTACAACCACACAGAGCCCAGTAGACCCTGCCAATTTATAACAACAACAACAACAACAACAACAACAACAACAACAACAACAACAACAATAATAATTATAATTATTATTATAATATTTGTAATAATAATTATTTGAAAAGAGAACCTTATTCTTTGCCCTGCTTGCTCCCAGGCATATACTAAGAAGATAGTTACACAAACCAGCAAATTCATAATTCCTCCTCTGATCAAAGTATTACTAACAATTTAATCCAGAAGCTGAAAACAGATTTAGACTCGTTACTGCTTTCCACCACACTCTTCTTCTGTGTTCCACAAAAGAATTCCCTGAGAGGCACCAAAAGGTGGCCTTTGCAGCTGGGTTTGTGCCTTAAAATAGCTTAAAGTAGTGCAAAATGGTGTTTCCTGGTAGAAATTATTGAAACTCCTTTGTTTATAAGTAAGATTATCTAAATCAGCATGAATCTGAGAAACATGTCTCCTTTGTTAGTAAAATGGGCAGTTCTCATGGAAAAAAAACCTTTGGCCCCTCCTTCTTGTCACCAGGCAGGAAGTTTATAGCTCCTTCTGAACGTGAAAGAAGGCAGTGGGTGTCAGGAGGTTGGGATTCTTGGTGTGGAAGTGTTGCCAGAAGGCGAATAAAGCAACGCAGGATCCGTCCACCACGTGGTTTCATCCCAGCAGACCTGTTCCTGTGGTGGGACACCAGCATCCGGGAGGGCACGGAGCTTCTGTCCAGCTGTTTGCAGCTGGGACGCCAAGCTCAAGGAGCCCAGAGTCCACAATGGCCACCAAGAGCCAAATTCTACCGAAATTGGTTGTTGCTGGAACCCCTGGTGAGTGAGGCACACGGGAGACTCGGGCTGTGAGGGCCATGCTCAACTTGTGCAGGGAACCTCAGCCTACTGAACCTCAATCCAGAGTGCCTTCCCAGCCATTGGATTGGCTAGTTTTCCTCACTGGCCAGAGTAATATCGATTCAGACCAAGTGTAGCAGTTTATTGAGTTTTTCCCCCCACAGTTTTTCTTCTTTTTTTTTTCCCCCCCACCCCCAAATGAAAGAAGCCCCAGAAGTCATTGAGAAGCCAACAACCACTGCCACTGCTCCACCTCTAGGTGCCCTTCTCCATCAGGTCAAGCATTTCTTTGTACACCTGCTCGTAGACCTGCTTGCCCCAGAGGAAATCAAAGTGGACGAATTCGGGGATGTACTTTTTGTAGGCCACATTGGAGATACGGGGCAGGGTGATGTTCACATCTTCAGGGGCTGAAATCCAGTCCTGGCCCCCATACCAGGCAGCCAGCGGGGTTTTCATGTTCTCCAGCTCATAGAAGGGAGGAGTGGGCTGGAAGACAGGAGGGAGGTAAAGGGCTAGCCAAAAATTCAAAGTGTATCCTGATGGCTGCTTGGAATTTCTCCCTTATCCCAAGGGATGGAAGAGGAACTATCACCAGGGAGCCTCACTATGCCTTGGACTCTTGTTCTTTTCACCAGAGGGTCAAAATGTCATCACTGAGTGACTTTCTTTATTAGAAAGTGACGAACCTGCTTCCCCATATAAATTAAGTTCCATAAGTACCGTGGAATTCATAGAACCACAGAATGGTTTGGGTTGCAATGGACCTCAAACACCATCTTGTCCCAGCTCCCCTGCCACGGGCAGGGGCACCTTCCACCAGCACCAGGCTGCTCAATTCTCCAAATTCTGTCTCAACCACTGCCATATTTTCATTGCAATATTCATTTATTTTCTCCTCTGAGCATGGCTCTCTCTTACCTGGTTGTAATGAAGCACGTTGTCACTGCCATAATCATAACACTTGAATTCCCCTGTCTGATAGAGCTGGAAAAGGAGAGTTGCGTTTATTATCCACGCATTGGAGGGGTCTCTAAGAAAGGGAAAAGAGGTGACAGGGGACTGCACTGCTCCCTCCTGCCACCGAGGCTCAGTGAAGCGATTTTTACATCTGGTACTGGATTTTGGGAGGAGAACTCAGCCCCAGGAAGACCTCGGCACGGAAACCCACGGGGAAGAACCTGGTGTACAACCAAGGGCCTCAAAGGAGACACAAATCACATCTTTGGACAAGTTTTTTGTGTGTTGTGGTCAATGCCACCAGCAGAAGGACGTGAGCAGAATGTTTTCAATAATTAATTGTGTCATTAGTGGTCATTAGGGTCATTACTGACCCTCAGCCTTTGCTCTGGTATCTCCTGTCCTGGTTTATCACCAGTCTTTGTTCCACCTTCTACAAGCCCCGAGGACTCTTGGACCTCTTTTGTTGGAATAAATAACTTAAATAAATAAATAAGCAGTGTTCCAGGGCAGCATTCCTCTCTCTCCCTGCACAGCTCTGCAGGGGGAGAGGCTGGGGATAATTCCCAACCCCTGAGCAGAGGGAGGAGAACACGAAGCGTTACCTGGCGCCAGTGCAACATGGTTTTTAGGGATGTGGAATCAGGGTAGCGGGCCAGGTAGACATCAACGCGGCTCTGCGAGAAACCATTGGAGAGGTTTGTTCTCCGCCCCCCAAAAAATTCCACGTCAGAAATAAAATCAAACCTGCTCAGTAGCCACACTCACACAGAGCTGAGCAATCCCAAAAATGGGAGGCTGGGCCATGTTAAGAGTCTGTTTCCAAGACAAAGAAAAGCTCCATATCTCATGCTCAGGATCCTTTTGCAAAGACGAAGCTCAACTCATGGCAGTAGCTCTATGTGTTGTTCCTAATATGCTTCCTCCTTGGAATATTAAGGAATTACACCAATGCTTCACTTGAGAAGCCCCCACCCTTCCAGGTGCCTCCAGCCTGAATTTTTCTACCAATCAAAGAGGTGAAAGGCCATGTGGAGGCGGCAGATCCCAGCTCAGGCTGGGACAGTGAGAAAGCAGATCTCTTGAGAGGGGAGCTGGAGTGTACGTACCTCGTTCAAGCTGTTGGTAAACCCACCGGGCAGGTAAAAGACAAAAGAGCACAGCGTTTTCAGCATGGGGTACGTGCACATTCTGGAAATCACTTGCTTCAAGACCTCATCCTTATCAAAGACCACCGTGTGCCCTAAAATGAGCTGTGGAATTCAGAGGGGTGTATCAGTGGGCTTCATGTTCTTTTTTTGCCTCCAGGTGCTCCCCACCTCTTTGCACACCCCTGAAAGTTGCTGACAGCTTTGCTGTGCTTTGTCATTTTGGCTTTTCAGGCTTTTCAACCCTGGAAGAGCCCTGACCTTCCTAGGAGAGGTTTCTCCTGGGAGAAGGGACCCAAAACCAATTCCTGTTAATAGTTTTCTGATTAAGGCTGGACAGGAATATTACTTCCCTGCCCTCCAGGCTCACAGCACACGCACGAACACTCAGAGCAGGGAGATGGAGGTGATGTACGAGCACTGCGTGTCTCAGGTGACCTTCCCAGTCCCTCCTCCCCATCACACCTCAGGTGTGCTGAGGACATACCTTAATCAGCACCTCGGGAAGGTCAAACACCCTCACCAAGGGTGACTTCATGTTTGAGTTCACAGTGATGGGAGCCAAGGCGAAAAACATCTTGATTTTACGATCCAGTTCGGGAATGGATGAGAAGGCAATGAAACCTGCGTGAAGGAGAAGGAAGCAGACCCTGCCCTGTTGTTTCTGAGGGAGCTGTTGACTTCCAGGTGTGTGTCCCCATCAGAAGGCCCCTCAGAGGTGGCTCCAGCAGGTTGGGCTCTGGCAGCAATGTGATGCACCCGGTTTGGGGCTGCCACTGCTCAAAACCCTTCTGTTAAAGCAATTACCCGCTCTTTTCCCTTTTGTTGTTTGGAAATGCCTGGACATTGCCCTCCCTGACCAAGGTTTTAGGAACACTCCCAGGCTGGGGGTGCACAGCCAATGTGGCTCTGCCAGCTCTGCTCTCCTCCTCAGTACCTGTGGTGGTGCCTTGGGAAAAAGCCACGTAGTACAACTGCTCCTGCCCCGTTTTCTGCAGGATGTAGTTGATGGTGGCTGGAAGGTCATACATGGCCATCTCATGGAAGCTGCAGGGGAGACAGGCACGTGACAAAATCACTCTGGCTGAACTTGCCGTGGCTACTTGGGTGCGGAGGAGAGCTCTGGAAGGGATGGGCGACCCAGTTTCTGCCCACTGGCAGATGGTGTGACTGTCAGGAGCACCCCTCCTCCAGCCTGCAGACACTGCTGAGGGTACCAGGGACCTGCCCACCCTCCACTTTCACAGGAAATACCTGTAGGATGAGTATTCCTGCTGGTAGAATTCAAACTCTTTGTGTTTCCGCGACCAGCTGTTCCCGCGGCTGTTCCCGATCCAGACGTCGTAGCCAGCATCGGCGAGGATGAAGCCCAGGCTGGCATTGGGCAAGTTGGTGACCCAGTTGCTGCCCTCCAACACCAGGCCGTGCTGCAGGAGGACCACGGCCTTTGGAGCTGGAGGAAGAAGAGGAAGGAATCATTTTCTCTGGCCACGAGCAAAAATTGATCATTCACGTCCAGGTATTGCTTTGGCAGCTCCGCCCTGGGAAGTGACACCAGTGCAGGGACACGGTCACCTCCATCCTCAGTCTCTCTGGGGAGGTGTTTTTGAAGAAGGCCAGGGCAGAGACTGGAAATGTGGGGAATTTTTACACTTATTTGCCATATTCATGTGCGTATACCTACGTGCTTCCCAGGGGAGGGAGACACTGGCGAGAACCGGGCGTCACCCCACCATTACTTTGAAACAGGGGTTTCAGTGCAGGAAAATCCCAAAATGGTGAGATGGCACTGAATTGGACACAGGAAGGATCCCAAAGAGTCAGGTGGCATTGGATTGGCCACCTGGTTTGGTTTCCTTTCCTGACTAATGGCTTTTTGCTGCTCCACTGTCTGGTTTTGAGCTGAGGTAAAACCTGGGGCGAGATTTCTCTGTCCCATTCTTTCTCGTTCCTCTTTGGAGCAAATCCTCTCAGAACAAGGTCAGCATGGTGGGCACCTGCATCTCTTCTGCTCCCAAGGCTATTTGCCCGATTTTTCCTTCAGGGAAATCTGCCTCTTGGAGGACCCAGCCCATGGTGAGGTAGCCTTGACCGTGGGTCTCCTCCAGCCCAGCAAAGCTCTCAGGGTGCCCGGAGCAGGCAGAGCCTCCTGTGGCACTTACGGGGACAGAACATGTTGGATGCCTGCGCTCCTGCCTTGTGGGAGATGCTGAAGCTCTCCTGGCTGTCTCTGCCGTGGGGAATCCTCTGCAGGGTGAGGTAATAGCCATCGTCTGTCAGCACCTCGTGCTCCTCATAGGGGTACCCGTGGTAGCGGATGATTTCGCCCTGTGGGAAGGGAAGGACAGCATGGGACAGTCCCCAGGGAGGGAGGGTCTCTGTCCTGAGGGGTGGCAGGGCTTGGCTGGGAAAAGCCATCAGTGCTGGAGGTGACTCCAGGGGGAGGGTGGGCTCAGGACCTCCCAATGTCCCTTCCACCAATGCTGTGGCGATGCCATGACTTCAGCCAGAATTTTTGGCGGCTCCCTGAGCAGGTGTGGTGAAGAGCTGTCACTTTCTGTGCTGCAATCCAGAGCAGGGCAGCACAGACAGCCAAACTCCGAGCCTGAGAAGGCTGTCCTGGCCAAACCTGCTGACTTGGAATGAACCCCCCAGTAAATGTCTGCCATAAATCTCTGTGTACGTAAGAACAGGGAGACAAATACCTAACAAAATCCTCGGTGAAGACACACAGGGCCCGTGGGTCTTGCACAGACAATGACAGCACGGGTAACTTGCACAACCAAGCAGGGAAAGAAGGGACTTACAACATCCATGGACACCTCGGGGTTTTCTTCTGAGTTTGCAGCGATGAACATTGAACAAGAGATGGTGAGGAACAGCCACATCATGGTGCTCTGCAAAACATTGCCGTGAGGAGTGTGAGAGGCTTTGCTGGCACTGGCACAGGAGCTGGGCGGGAGTTCTCTTGATGTGCACTGCACTTCTGTCAGGATATCAACCTGTCCCCTCAACAGGCTGAAACCATTTTAAAACTCAAGTCCTCTAATGGGTTCTGAAAATGGCTCATTTTGCTCGTCTTGAACAAAGTCAGAGTCCAAATTCCATCACATTTTATTCCCACATTCTCCATCAGGCCCTCACACTCAGAAACAATGCACAGGTACATCTGCATGTGCCCAGGCAAACCTGGTTTTCGAGGGGGTGATTATAGATCATTAATTTAAAAGAATGTCTTGGATAGCTGGAAGAAGAGGTTCTTTTGTTCCACTGGTAGCTAAACCACCCAATTTTAAGTTGCAGGGCCGTGTTCTCAAGAAGAAATCAAATGATGTGGTTTGTTTGTGTTCTCTTTATGGCTGAGATAGACCCTGGGATACTCCTGGCTTGTTTTTGCAGACCTGAGTGAAATGCCATCTCAGGACACCCCTGTTCTTCCTGGCAAGGATTTTGGTGTCTTCCCCAGCTTGTTCCTACCACAGAACATCTCACTGCTGTTTTATCTCACGGAAACAGAATCACAGAATGCTTTGGGTGGAAAGGGACCTTAAGGATCATCCTGTTCCAAACCCTCTGCCATGGGCAGACCCCTGCCATATAGGAACGGGTAAATCTGTTGGAGGTGACAAATTCTCAGCAGAAATACTGCCTCAGCTACTTAGAGGGGTTCAATTCTGTGGAGCAGTTTGGCAGGGACCGGCCGAGTTCCCACTGAATGCTCCAGGTGTCTCATTCCTTCTCTGGTGAAACAGAGGAGATCTGGGAGCAGCTTTCTGTCGCTTCTGCCATTCTCCCCTTTCCCTTCTGCGGGAGGACCCGGCTCCCCGTGCTGCAGGAGGTGGTTTGGCAGCGGGGGAGAAAATCCCCTGCTCCCTCAGCTGTCCCCGGAGCGGAGCAGGGAGAGGAGGATCAGCGCACCTGCACCTGGGGACACCCAGGACCCCGGGACCCCATCTCCCACCCGGGGGACCAAGGGCTCCCCCCATCACCCTGAGCCCCCCGGGATGCGATTTGGGGACAAGATCGCTCCACGAGGCTCCGGACTCGTTATTTTAAGGGCGAGCCTTTGGAAGAAGCAAGGAGAGACCGAACACATTTTTGTGGCGTAGCGTCAGGAGAAGGGCATGCAAATTCCAGGGAAGAGCCTCGCCTGGGATGGCCCTTTCCTCTCAACAGTCAGCTTGGAAAAACATTCCCTTTGTGAGACGCCCCTCATCTGAGCAGACCCCGAGAACCCCGGCAGCAGCGGGGTGTCCCCTCTTCAGCAGCATCCCGGTCCTGAGCCCTGTCCGAGCACTGCCACTCCCCTCCCTGGGCAGGGACATTCCTTTGGAGCCAGGACTCCGGGAAAGCCCTGCTGTCCCTCCCCTGGGGCTCTCCTGGTGCCTGCAGCTCTGTCCCCAGGGATGGCACCCCCGGAGGAAGGATTACCCGCGGCGGTCCAGGGGCTGCGGCAGAAGAAGTGTGGGAGCCTTTGTCCCTGATGTCCCCCGAGCAGAAGGTCCCCGCTGCCTGCTCTCATCGGGCTGCTGTTCCCTCTGCTCCCAATTCGGGAGCGTCAGGAGCCGCCTCTCCCTCTGATCCCTCCTCCTGTGAAGGTGTAATTTACCTGAGGGCTGGAGTCTGGAGACACCTTCCCTACCTGGGAATGTTTTCATGGCGCTGCAGAAGAGCTGAGAGCTGTAACAAATTGGTTGTTTCCACCCGAAGGAGTCATTTGGCATCGGCCATGACCTCTGTGACCCTGAGGATGGGCAGACTCCAGACTCTCCACCTGCTCTGGGACTGGCTTTGGTGCCCTGGGACTGGCTTTGGTGCTCTGGGACTGGCTTTGGTGCTCTGGGACTGGCTTTGGTGCTCTGGGACTGGCTTTGGTGCCCTGGGACTGGCTTTGGTACCCTGGGACTGGCTTTGGTGCCCCGGGCTGCTGCTGGTGCCCCTGAGGGCTGAGTGGGACCAGCCCAGCTCATCCCGGCAAACTCCAGTGGGAAAACCATCCAAGCTCCCTTTGGCTCTTCCTGCTGCCTCCTGGCATGGAATGAGCCTGGAAATGCGGAACCTCCCAGTCCCAATAGCGACTTCAGGGGCTGCTCTGTACAAAATAAAAAATAAAAATAAATCAAACCCCAGGGAGGGAAGAAGCTGTGGATGGAGACTTCACATCTTGCCAGGCTTCCCTTCGTGATGCCTTTGGCCAGGAGCTGCCTGGTGCCCGAGGAGGTCCCTGCAGGGATGGGTCACACGAGCTCTGGGTGTCATTTTGGCTCCTCTGCCTTGGTGGTCACCTCTCCACTCCTTGCCCAGGTGCTGACTGTGCACCCTGTGGGATCCTGCAGCCCTCCTGCAGCCAACACCTGCCAGCTCTGGTCCAGCCACCTCTGCCTGCCCACACGCAGACATGCTTTGGAAAGCCTAAGTAGCTTTCCACCTCTCTCTGGAGCTGTAATGTCTGGTCTTTACCAAGGACTTGCTGGAGGCAGTGCCAGAAGCCCTCCCAGCTTTGAGCCACCCTCAAATGAGCAGTGGCTCAGAGAAGAATCTGATTTTTCCCCTGCAGGGAGAGGAGGAAAGGTGGAAAAACAGGATTGGGTATGCCCAAACCAGAAAAAAAAGAACACTCACTCTTCCTCCCAGCACCTACAAAATTTGCCTTCCTTTTGGGGACAGGACATCAGAAAGGTTCCTATGGCCACTCCTGGTCCTGGCATCACATCAGTGGGGAGCCCCCCAGGGTGAATCACTGCACAGCCTGTTAAGGCATGAGCAAATCAGCAAAAATAAAAATAAAAGAATTAAGAATTCTGAGCCAAGCTAATTCCATGGGTTTTAAGAGTTATTTCATTTTCCTGCAACAAGCACCCACTGAAAGGCATGGGGAGAGGAGGGGATTACTGGAAAGCAAGCAGAGGGTGAACACTGGGCCGCTTTCCCACCAGTGCTGCTGCTAGGACAGGACTGGTGTGACCCCTCACGGGGGCAGGGAGGGACCAGAGACCCCTGCCCCACACTGCTCTCATCTCAGGGGTTTTTTCCCTAAATTTCCTTGCACTTCAGCCGGCTGCTGCCCGGCCATGTGGGCACTGAGCTGTTGGGGTGGTCCTTGTCCATGGGATGGTGCTCTCCAAAGGGAACAGGAAAGCCTGGGCAGGGCAGCAAGAGGGTGCTGTGAAAGTGCTGCAGAGGGGAACGAGCTCCTGCCCAAACCCTGAGGGAAAGTGCAGGGGTTTGGTATGTGGAGAATCCCCAAACCCAACAGCCCATGGCTGTCCCCATCTCCTTGAGCAGGAGGTGCCTGTGTGGCCACCCAGGGCAGGAGCTCTGTGGGGACGGAGCTCCCTCCCCGGAGAGGATGGGAAAAGGCAGCCTGGCAGCGTCACAGACAGCATTTGTGTTTGTGCTGCTTTGTCAGGCTCAGAGGGGCAGTTCTGTTGCCTTGATAAGCCCTGCTGTTATCTCAGGCCCTCAGCAGCTCTGAGCTTGTCCCTGATGGGGGCTGAGGTTGGACTAGAGGTCCCCAGAGGCTGCTGCCAGCCAGCATCACCACAATGCCCTGGCTGGCTTTACCTTTCCTCTTCCTGCCGTTGTGGAGGAGCAGGAGGGGGAGAATAGGCCCCTCCATGGATCCTCTGTGATTTTCAGCTGATGAGAAAGGTTTTTGGCATTCCTTCAGTCGCAGAGAGGGTGGGATGTCCCTTTCTGTGTGCACAGCCAGCGCTCTTGAGTTTAACTTAGCGAGAAACTTGGGCTCAGGTTTTGCTGCTTTGTCAGAGACAGGATATAAAGTCTGCTAGTGAAAAAATCCCACCCAACCCCCAAACCCCAGGCCACCCCTGTCTCTGGTTTGCTTTCCTGCTTTGTCACCAGGCAAAGGTGGAAACCAACCAAGCAAGGCTCTGTGCTGAGCTCCCTCCCTACCTGATCATTTCACTGCTGCAATCACTAAACCCCTCCCCACCCTCCCTCTGGAGCTATTTTGGAAACCAGCACAGGTCAGGGGTGGAAAGACCTCACTGGCTTCAAGGAGAGGCCATTGTCCCCTGGGTGCTGGGCTGAGAGTGGCAGAGCAGGAAGGTGTGGCATTGCTGCTCCCAGGCTTCCTTCCCATCCATGTGTCCCCTCAGTGTCCCTCAGCTCCTGCTTGGTGGGGACAGCATGTCCTGGCTCCAGCTGGGATTGTCCTGGCTGCTGGCTGTGCACAAGCACAAGGAACTCACAAGTGGGACATGCAGAGAGGGATTTGTGCCAACAGCTCTCTGCCCTGGCTGGGAGGAAAAGCAGAGGGCTTGGAGATTTCTGGAGGTTTTCTGGATCTGCCAGGCAACCCACTACAATCTGAGCCTGTCAGACAGCTGCCTTGGAGCGGGGGGACCCCCCAAGGCTCAGGGCCTGGCCCCAGGGCTGCCCTGCTCACACATTTCAGGCTGTTTCCTTGAGGACAGCCAGGCTTTCTGTGCTGCAGCTGTGCCTCTGGTGCTCTCTCCGTGCCTCTCCAAACAGGACCCTGGTGCCTCTGGAACCCCTTTGGGCAGGGGGAATAAGACACTGGGTCTGGTTGAGCCAACCCAGCCTGTCCTGGCACTTTGGCCTCTGCCTCCACCCACCATCTCTGGGCTCACTCCGATGTGGGGGTGTCCCAGTAGTCCCTGGGAACCCAGATCTGGATTCTGCATGGAGATCCAGCCTCCCCAGTGCCAAGCAGAGGGGATAATCCCCTCCCAGGGCTTGCATGTGAAACACATCTCCTCTGTCTTGAGTGGAGCTGGAGGGTATGGAGTCATCCTTCCCGAAAGTGGCCGAGCCTGTCCAGGAGGAGAGGTTAAGGAGGTGGGGCAGGGGCTGGAGAAATAAGGGGGGAAGGCCAAGGGCAACTTGTGGGCTCTCAGCTTGTCCAGAGAGGCAC